AAATTAATTGTCAGTAAAATGATATGAATAACCTTAAAAGTAAAGTAATTAAAGTTGTCATGTGTGAAAATAAAAAAAAGTATTGTAATATATATAACATACACGAGATTCTATGTTAATAAGCGTAAAATCATGAGAAAAAAAGAAAAAAAAAAGAAGAAAAATCAGTAATGTCAAATGCTTTGAAAAAAAAAAGGAAATTCAATGAAATATTCCTGCTTTATAGTCTTAAAGTTTCCAATGACAATGAATTATCTACAATTCGAAGATTAGATGTGATAAAATCTTTGTAAAGATATAATTAAAAGTATAAAAGAAGCCTTTATCAAATTAAGAACAACTTGCCTTCAGGTTAAATAGTTTCAAGTTCTATTTTGTTTAATTCTTCAATAATAAAGTTCTCTATAATATTTTATAATAATTCATTTTTAAACTTTAACCAATATTAAAAAAAATGAGACTGTCTAAACGAGTTTAATCTTTAAAAAATACTAGAAATAAAAAAGCGCAAAACGCAAAGAGTGAATATTATATATTTCAATCATACATTTCATATAATGTATAAACTAATTTTACTTTGATATATTCGTTATAGATAATAAATTGTCTAGTGATAAATTCTCAGAATATGAATCTTTAGGTAGTGAACTTTCAGGTACTGAACTTTTAGACAGTAAACTTTCAAGTACTGAACTTTCAGGCATTGAATCTTCAGATAGTGAATCTTCAAGTAGCCAATCTTCTAGTAAAGAAAATAATTGGATGGATGAACTATTTGAATTCAAGTTAAACATATATACTTTAATGCTTGATGCTGCACATAAACCTGATGCATTTAAAAAAACTTCTCAAAATAGATTTTATATTGGAAATGCAAAATCAACTATGCAAAATAAAAGGTGAAGTTGGAAATTAGCTGCACAAGAATCTCAAAAAATTACAAATTACTTTAGTGTTAATAACAATAGTGAAAATAGTGAAGTATTTGAATATTGGATTTAAATACTAGTAATAATTATTCATTATGTTTTTGTTATTATTACTATTTAATGTTTAATTAATTATAAACATTATAGATTCTTCTGAAGAAGAAACTTC